ATCAGACGAAATCAATGGCTCATGCATTCACGTTGTGTCGAAAGAACGTGTACGTGCAAATAATATGCGTACGTATCGGTAATTGTTACGTTTTCCATTCATTAATTATGACTTTATTGTCTTCCGAGGTTTCTAGTTCGTTACTTGCGGTCAAAGTGATCATTGATTCGGAACTGTTTAGTTTAATTGGATGATCATTGCGTTATTGTGTAGTTTGCTCAGTATTTCATTTATTTTGGTTATTGAATTATGATGTATTTTGTTTCGTTATTATTGAATTATGGGGTTGTTCAATTATTTTATTATTTAATTTATTTTGGTTATGATGTATTGTTGTGAATCATAATGTATTTTAGATGATCATTAAATTGTGGTGCAGTTTGTATAATTATTTCATTACTTCAATGATTGTTTTATTATTTGATTTATCGTGGTTCGATGAATTGAGGTTATGATGTATTTTGTCCAATGATTATTTCAGTGATTATTTCGTTGTTTAATTTATTTTTATTCGGTGAATATTCAGGTTATGATGTATTCTGTTCAATGAATATTTTATTATATAATTTATTTTGACTCGATGAATATTGAGGTTATGATGAATTTTGTCCAATGATCATTTTATTATTTGATGTACTTTGTTCAATGAATATTTTATTATTTACTTTACTCTGATTCAATGATTATTTAATTATGAAGTAGTTTATTCGATGATTATTTTACTATTTCAATGACTATATCATTATTCAATTCATTTTGACTAAATGAATATTGAGGTTATGATGTACTTTGCTCAATGATTATTTTATTATTTGACATACTTTGTTCAACGACTACTTGTTATATTCCATACTATACTATTTGTTATATTCCATCCAACGTTTATTTTTCAACAAAAATGTTGTTACCACAAATTGTTTAAACTACCCTCTAAAACCTGTTCCTCTCAAACTATGTTTGTAAAAATCCCAGTACCTGTAAATCAACCGCGAATCATCGGTAAATATAAGAACGTAACATTTTCCGATATTGGGGTATTTATATCACACAGTCAGATTGGAGGGTGTGTGGCCAGATGTTCGGCTGCATACGCCACTTCCGATAAGCTGGAATAGTTCCATATCGTCGGCGGTAGGAAAGAATATCCAGTTGGCACAGGATCGTTTGGAGGGGGACCAAGGAGATCGGGTACAGTTTTCCAGCTGGAATGATGTATAGAGCCGGCCTGACTCGGACGTAGCATGTAAGATTCATTCGCCACGAGCCAGCCGAATCGCAGCTACCAAGAGGTAGAATCACTTAGCTGATCTTCAGGACGGCCAGAGAATCGAGAATTTCGAGGAAGACAACACCAGCACCGATCCGGACAGATAATGGATGCCGCAAGAACAAAAACCGACGAGCCCCGCGGAAGATCAGCCAACGAAATTCGGTCGTCACGGTTTATGAGCAAAAAAACGTGATTTTAAAGGCGAAGAATGTGTCCCCGTGATTTATTGAACGCTCGAAAAAGAGAAAGAGACATATTACCTCGGAGGGTTTCTTCTGCGGAATTAACCCCTTGCCATACTTTGACGAGCCTGACACGTCACGCACTCGTACGTGACTTTTCCCTGGTGTAAAGGGTTAAGCTTGTTAAAACTTTTACTATGAAGTTTACTCTTTACACGTTTACTTCTATTAACTTTACTTTTTATAGGTTTAACCTCTTACACTAGTTTGACGAGTCACATGTGACGCGCTCGTTCTTCGACTGCGATCAATTTTACTCGAATTTTTAATAAACAATTTTAGTACTCGAGTCTGATCATTTTCATGGGCGACGTTTTATAACAAATTCACATGAAATTTCAACTTTCTTTATCCGTTTTAATATTATAGGTATGAATAGTTACTTCTGACTGACGCACCTGGCAAATCAAAGAGCAAAAGCTTTCCTTGTCTGTTTTAATATTATAGGAGTGATTAGTTACTTCTAACTGACCTGACAAATCATAGAGCAAGATTTTTCTTTGTTTTAATATTGTAGCTATGATTAGTTACTTCTGACTGACTTGACAAATCATAAAGCAAGATCTTTGTTTGTTTTAATATTATAGCTATGATTAGTTACTTCTGACTGACCTGACAAATCATAAAGCAAGATCTTTGTCTGTTTTAATATTGTAGCTATGATTAGTTACTCCAGACTGACACACCTGACAAATCAAAGAGCAAAAGCTTTCCTTGTCTGTTCTAATATTATAGCTATGATTAGTTACTTCTAACTGACCTGACAAATCATAGAGCAAGATCTTAGTTTGTTTTAATATTATAGATATGATTAGTTACTTCTGACTGACGCACCTGACAAATCAAAGAGCAAAAGCTTTCTTTGTCTGTTTTAATATTGTAGCTAAGATTAGTTACTTCTGACTGACTGACCTGACAAATCTTATAACAAGAACTTAACTTTTGTTCAACATATCAAGTTTCGTACGTGGTATACATATGTGGACTAGGAAATGTCCCAGCAATGTACCACGCATTAGGTTTTAAGGTTTAGGGGTTAACGATAGGGGAGAAGAAGGTGGAGAATGCGAAGATTTCGCCTGGAAACGAGGTGAACAGTTCTTTACCCGATCGAAGGTTTTTGTACTTTACAAACAATATCCATAGGAACAGATGGCACGCATAGATTGTGCAACACAATGGTCGTCGAACAGTCTGACGTTGCATTTCTTGGGGTTCAAGGAACTGCCAGGAGGCAGATCTCATGGAGATCTTGATCAAAGTAATATCGATATTTTAGGATTCAAGATTAATTTAATCTGAACTATTTAATATCATTAGTGAATATAGGCTATACCATCATATTGCAACATTTACAAGTTATGAAACTTTAGTTACGAAATTATTAAACTATTAATTTTCTTGAAAATTTAGAAAAGTTCGAAATGACCGTTTCTGGTGAATGTCGTCGCCGTTTAAACGTTCAGCTAAGAACACCGTGTGCAGTTAAGCGGTATCAGAGAGGAGGTCCAAGAATAGTTAGCGTTAGGATAAGGCCAGCAGCCAGTCGGAGTTTACGTACGTTAGTAGACCGCGAGCTTTCGACGTTACGGCCGTTGTAAATGTCTAAGAACTTTAGTTGTTCCGCACCGAGCCGCGTTTATCCCCCTTCGGATGGAAAATTATCGTCTTGTCGCCAACGGAACCGGCCGCGACCCGCTCCTGCGTCAAACTTCCATGACCCCACGAATAATTCAGACCAGCCAGCCTGGTTTATACGCGTTTCATCTTTTAATACGCTGGTACCTGCTCGCTGAAACGAGAGAACTCTGGATAACTCTGATTCTTAACATCCACTCGTTCACCTTAGGACTATTTATGGCGAGGGCTGTTTATTGTTAAATCGTTTACTGATCGTTGGGAAAAATATCGAAAAATTGCAGAGTTATTTCGGAGGGAATTATAGCTGTATTTTAGTGTACTATATTCTACAGTACTCCTAGAAGGATCCAAGTTCTACCGACTCCTTAGAAAACCTAAAGACACGAATTCAGAATAAAAGAATTGAAACCCGCCACCATTAACAACGTCAAAAAATTAGGGATCGAATCGCGTTCCCGTGCGTTTCGTTTGACGGAATTGATCGGTTTGACACGAGAGTCGGCGAAAAATAAAATAAAAAAAAGAGAGGAACGGCGAAAGGAAGAAACAGAGCGAGGTAATTTGCATCGGGCACGTGAATCGAGCCGGCCGCGATACCCGTGGAATCGGTTTAAATAAATTTACATGGATTAACCAGCTGCGTGGCGGGCGATGGCTGGATCAAAATCGAAAACGAGACTCCCGACGAGCGGGTATCGTGGGTGATCGATCATCAGACGCTGATCGATCGTTCCGCCAACGGATTCCGGTTAACGTTACACGTCATCGTTGGTACGTTAACCCTGATCCTGACCCGGAGGAATTACGCAACAGACTCGATCCGACGATCGATCTTGGACAATGATCGCGGTGCTCCCACGACTATGTGGGAATTATAACCCACACGAGCACCTGCTTTCGTTTCTGATATCCGCCGATGCGACACACCGACAACTTTCTTTGGAAACCGGTTGATAGTCGACAATAGACAGACTTCTTTTGATCTGACACTGTAATTGTAGTCGAGATTCTTGCTGATAGAATTTAGATTGGTGTGAGAAGCTACTGGGATCCATTATTTTATAGCAAGATGGTAATTTCTGTCGAGATAAGGAATTTTTATTGGGTTTCTTATTTGCAAATTTTTAACTGCTCATCAAATGTACATACATCTACAGAAATTTACAGAAAAAGCAGATGCTGTGGGACTTTTTTAGCTGAGAGGTTTGAGAGGTGCATGTGGAGGCAAATTAGACATTTGAAGATATGATCAATATTATTAACAGTTACATAAAACTGACTGATGAAGTAGCTCTTTTCTACTAGCTCTTATTTATAATAATCAAAGTATTTATTACACTAATCATTTGCTTAACATACTGGCTATTAATCCTTCAAGATGGAAGGTGTTTTTACTGCTGTTTGATAAGCTGAAAACTTTCTACGTGAAAAGTTTGATGAATTCTTCCAAAGTTATTACTTCTCCATCATTATTAATTTCCTCTGTCATCTTACACGTCTAGTACTATGGATTTAAAGATACTTGAGAACCATTTTTAAATTGAAACTAAAAAAACAAACAAGGGATGTAAATCATCCTCCGCATTTTGTATCTCGACAAAAGTCAACATTACGAGCTTCATTATAATTCAAAATAGTCCATTCAGTGCATAAAGTTTCATAAAGTAAAAGCACTAATTCTCAGGTACATACCGAGAGTAAAAACTGGCCAAGAACGGCAAATGAACCGTGTCCCAGAACTTTCCTCGCAAGAGGCAAAGAAACAAGAGCACAAGTGTTGAAGTATAAAAAAACCTAGTTAGCGTAATTGGCAGAAAGTTAGTCGAGTAAGCCATGGAAAGAAATACCTGGTTTGATCTGTCGAGGCTTGGCTCGGACGCACTCTGTATCCAGGAGCAGCAGCAGCAGGATCCATCGGATGGTGGCCAGGCTCATCCCGTTGGTCCTGCTGGAGTTTCGAGACACGTTGATGCGGAGAATCCGGAACCACCGAGAAAGGAACTGGACGAGGACGAGGTGACCTCGACTCGCGGAGGTCGTGCACCACGACCAAAACTGCGTGGACGTGAACGGGGACGAGGACGTGAATCCGTGCGATTCGAAGGAAAAAACCAGCCTCTGTCGAGCGGTTTTGAAGACGAACCGAGGATCGAATGAGTGAGGATGGACTGACAGACGTGCGGGCGTACGCACGAGTCAATGAAGTGAGTGGTACTCACCCGTAGGAGCCCTCACCTTACCCAACCCAGACCTCGTCCCCGTCGCCACCTCTCTCCCTTTTACCTTGGCTCCCTTCTTCTTTCCTCGTCCTCTTCTTCTTCTTCTTCCTCCTCGACCTCTGCTCTCTGTATTACTCCGATACTTGCTTCTTCCTCTTCCACGTATCGCGACGTACTTCTTCTTCTCTTCCTCACTTCACCCTTTTCCTTTCTTCATTGCTTGTGTACTTTTACTCTGCAACATTTACCCACACTCGATTTTACCGAGATGTGGTCTGGATGAGGTGTCCACATCTTAGCCATTTCGTATTCAATGTACATGTAGTTTTATTGTAGCAATGAAGTCCATGTGCAGATTTTTGTTTAACATGTTCAATGTTGCTTATATGTGTGCAAGTTTTCAGAGGTGTTATTGGACATTTACAATAAAACTAATTGCTCTAATGTTCTCTCTATTTTGTTACAGTAATAAAATCAATATACAGATGTTTGCATAACATATTCGACGTTCAATGTTGCTCATATGTGTGCAAGTTTTCAAAGGTACTATTAAATATTTATAAAAAAATAATTTTTGTTGTTATATAGTTAATTCCACATGTATTGTTCAATTGAATGATCTATGACATAAATTCATACTCTTATGAAATTGATAAGTTCAGAGAGGTACATGAGTCAAGTTATTTACAAAGAACTTATTGAGAGAACAATCGTTGAAACAATAAATGTACATATATCTTCGTCATACTTTTGACCAATTGTCTGATCCATCATTTTAAATGAAATTAAATAAAATAAACTGTTAATCACTGAATCGTTAATGTACCTTACACAGACCATACATTCATGAATTTATAAAATATCTGTACAAATCCTGTAACTACAACTCGAGTTACTTTGCAGTCTCATATCACGAGCCTCACAATCTGCTTATCAGTACTTAAAAATACATCAATATCATGAAACAGGATATTCGATACCATTCGATACGTTAATAACTTACGACCTAAAATCGATAGTATTACCATTAATTTATCATCACTCGTATCACAAGTTGTTTTCCGCTCCTCGTTTGTCTTCCCTTTCATCAAAGCACCAGAGTATCGAACTTCGTCTTCTCGATCCAACAGAAATACAATTGAATCGTTGCTCCCAACTTTGCACTAAACTCTTTTTCTTTTAACTTCGCGTCTGTTCTGTTCATGAAGTTTATAGTCGGTCTAACAACCTGCAGATCCTTCTTTCATCCTGAAATACGGTTCGCCTTGATCCACTTCAATCGCTTTCTTCTGCTCCTCTGTGTTTACCTTTTATCGATGTTTCGTGCGATGTTAATACGATCATATGTTGAGTGTATTTAAGAGGATTGCTTTATTGTTTTACTTGAAGAGTGCATAAGGTATCGTGATGACTTTGTTCATGTTCAATGCTGTCTAAATTGATTTCACATAAAGTGCCTACTGTGTTGTAATCTAAATGACGTACATGTAATATATGCTTTATATAAATGCTGTGTAATAAACATTGTATATAGATGTACATGAACTAAACATTGTATGTAAATGTATATGTAATAAACATTTTACATAAATGTATATTTGACAAACATTTTATATAAATGTATATGAGGTAAACATTGTATATAGATGTACATGAATTAAACATTGTATGTAAATGCATATGTAATAAACATATTATATAAATGTATATTTGACAAACATTTTATATAAATGTATATCAGGGAAACATTGTATATAGATGTACATGAATTAAACATTGTATGTAAATGCATATATAATAAACATTTTATATAAATGTATATTTGACAAACATTTTATATAAATGTATATCAGGGAAACATTGTATATAGATGTACATGAATTAAACATTGTATGTAAATGCATATATAATAAACATTTTATATAAATGTATATGAGGTAAACATTGTATATAAATGTACACGAATAAAATGTTATATGTAACTGTACATGTAATAAGTATTTTATATAAATGTATATGAACTAAACATTTTACATGAATGTACATGAACTAAATATTATATATAAATACACATGTGCTAAATATTTTATATACATGTACATGAACGAATTGTATCTAAATGAATATGTGCTAAATATTTTTTGTATAAATATATATGAACTAAATATTTTACATAAATGTCCATGAACAAAATATTGTATCTAACTGAATATGTACTAAATATTCCATAGAAATGTGTATGAGCAAAATATTTTATGTACAAATGCATGTGACCTAAATATTTTATATAAATGTCCATGAACAAAATATTGTATCTAACAATGTACTAAATATTTCATGGAAATATATATGAGCTATTTTTTGTACAAATGTATATAAACTAAAAATTGCATATAAGCATACATGTATCGCATCCAAACGAATATGTGCTAAATATTATGTACACATCTATGAGCGACACATGAATGAACCCCATCAGGTAAAACTACCATCACATCGACCCGAATAACGTGACATAATCTCCGCCAATAAAAGTAGATAAAAATGAAGGATCCGTTCTTATCGCAATCTGAATTGAATCTCGTTTCTTCGTTTCGTCAATGGCGCACTCGAAGCTCAGTTTTTGTTCACATCTCTTTCTTTTTCTTATCATCCCACCAGCACCGTCGGTTCTTCCTCTCCAACGTTTAAACAACTGTTCTCTTCTTTCTCCGTCCATTTCTTCCCCGCCTCTTGTTACGGTACCCTCGGTCTCCCCTGTTTTTTTCGTTTTTCTTCCTGCTAGTGGCTGTACGTGTCCCTTCTCTTCTTATCTGCAGCCACCTCCGCGTACGATGTTCCTACATCGGCCCTGTGTGATCCCCCTCGTGCAAAAGATCCCCGATGCTCGCTTCTAACTGCAAGGATATGTACTTTACGACGGCTTTGGTTGGTACGCTTCTCAGGAAGCTTCGGGATTTCCATGCCACGATCCTCTTCGTTGCGTGTTTCACCTCTGCCATATTACCGCGTACTGATCCATCCTTGCTTCTCCTGCCAACCGTAAACCTACTATTACCCTTCGAATTATTCACCCCGTTGCGGAGATAGCTGAAGCTTCACGATCACAACTTTTCAGGAACATCGCTATTTTACTCAAAAGGTTCACTCAGACTACTCTGAAAATATTCGATTTTTTCAAATTTGATGCGGGGTGTTACAAAATTTATTGCAAGTTTGTATGGAGATACTTTCTTCTTCGATAAAATAATCTTGACGTTTTTATTAGGTGATGTATAGGGTCAATTTTGTTACAGAACTGGAGGTTTCGAATTTTTCAAGTAATAAGTATCGGAATTTTATAGTCACAAGGAGAAAATATCTGTTCACTGGTAAAATGATCACGACATTTTTAATAGGAAAGGTATAGGGTGCATTTAAAGCAGTTTTGCTCGAAAATATGTGGGGTGTCTTCGATTCTTTCAAGCTTCATGTATAATGTAACAGATACTATGGCAATTTTATAGACACAAGAAGAAAATACCTACTCACTGATAAAATGATTACAACATTTTTATTAGAAGATGTATAGGGTGCATTTAAGACAGTTTCACTACAAAACATGTACAGTGTTTTTGAATTTTTCAAGTCTCATATGAAGTGCAACAAATACTATGGCAATTTTATAGTTGCAACAAGAAAATACTTCTTCAAAAATAAAATGATCAAAACGTTCTTATTAAAAGATGTACAAAATGCATTTAGAATAGTTTCATAAAAACACATGTGGAGTAAATTTGCATTTTTCAAGCCTGACATAAAATGTGACTTTTATGGTTACAAGAAGAAAATACCTTTTGATCAATGAAGTGAAAAAGACATTATTATAAGAAGCTGTACAGAGAACATTTAAATTATTTTCATTAAGAAACATGAAAATTATATTAACAATTTCCTATTGCAATTTTATAATATCAATGAGAAAGCTCATTTTCATTCATAAACAATGAGATACATTTGTTAAAAATGCATTTAAAGTACATTTAAATAATTTTTATGAAAAAACATGTTGGGTATATTTGAATTTTTCTGGTCTAATATAATAGTGCAGTTTTGTAGCTCCAATAAAAAAGACTTTTATATTAATACATTTTTTCCAAGAACATACAATATGCATTTAAATTTTATAGCAAACAAGCAAATTATCTTTTAATATATGTTCGAAAAAACTCTGAAATTAATGTTGAACGAAAAAAATATATTGTGCTATCGACGTTTCCACCTTTCAAACATTTTAGCAATATTCAACCTCGACAAAAAAGGATAAACACAAACGAATCAATATTACAAAAAAAAACCCGTACCGAGTATGTTTAGACTTTGCAGTTTTTCCACAAACGGATGCTTTTTCAGCTTTCGAGTTTTTGTGGAAAAACTTGGTCGATAAACGCAAACAAGTCATCCGTCGCTGCAAAATATACGTATATGCAAATTCATTAATTTTTCTAAAAAGAATCCTTCATAAATTTCAATGCGAATGATCCTCCTTTGATAAAAGCGACGAATGATCGCCGTTCAAAAAGCGTATGTGGCATACTTCGAATTTGTGGCCCGGCTTCTGTGCTTTTGCAAGTTTTCAGTTGAAAATAAGTCCTTCCCTTGATAAACGCGAGCGGGTCGCTTTCGTTAAGCCACTTTACAGTTTCCGATGGGAAAAAACTCGATGACACTTCATTAAATAAACGTGAATCGTTTTGGCTAAAAAATACACGGGATGCATTTCAATTTTTTAGCCGAG